TACTGTTTAACCTGGTTTCGTTCCCCTTGTCATTCCTCTCATTTCCTAACTTTTCATTTTTCTTAAATTTATTTTTGCACAGGTGCACATATATTCACACACTCGGTTAAAATACAAAGATAACAAAATAGGTGAAGTCTCTGCATATTTGGATCTAGCATTAAAATTGAGAAGACAGAGCACAATGAACAAAATGTGTGTATAATACAATATTCTCAGATACCTGATGTGAAGAAAGTTACTCAGTGAAAAGGCTGGAACCGTCACGACGTGTGTAGGTTTATGGGCATGGACAGTGGAGGTCACGGATGTTGTGCAAAGACCAGAGCTAGGGCCAAAGGGTGCTCATAGAACACACCAGAAAAGCAATCCAAGCCCAAGAATCACCAATAGAATACATCACGTATGAAAAGGGAGATGGAGGCTTGCCTCGTCTCCTATCAGATCATATAAAAACCAATTCGTAAAATAAATACAAAAAAGGCACAGGAAAAACAAGCTTTGCTGCCTGATATTAAAAATGACCAACATTCAATTCACACCCGTTGTACTTTATACACATCCTTTTGTGACACGTTGGTTTATTCCCTTTGCTTGTTTCCCTCTTGGGCTGTACAATTTGTATGTAGTTCAGACTATAAAGATATTGCTACTTCAACTTTTGGATAAATTTATTTTTACTTCATTATTTTCCCTGGCAATCAAGGGAATACAACAGCACATGAAATGTCACCAAAACCAAAGCAGCTTTTCTTTACCACATTCTCTCAGGGACCATTTAAGATTATTAAGTCTTTATTCCTTTTCTGTCCATTTCTCCATTCTTAGACTCATTCTCATTCATTCTCTCTCCCTCCACCCCCTTTTCTCTCTCGTGTATCAAGATACACGCGCATGTATCTTAAAATACAGGTTTAGAGAAAGAATATAGATACATATACACACATATGTGTTCTCTGAAAAGATTTTTTATGTATCTTTAATACAAGGCATAAATGACCATATCAAAATCAAACTCCAAGATTATTGTTACCTGGGAAGTTTGAAATTGGACTTTCTGGATGACTTTTGTACATAATCTGATCTGGCCGCAGTATCTAGGAATTTTTAAAATGCAAGTTAAATTGATAAAGCTATATGCAGATTATACCCTAAATTCCGATAAACATCATATTAAGTTATAAAATGCTAGAATTATTCTCTTGAAAGAAAGGAAGAATGATACGAATTCCAACTCTTAACATAAGTTTGAACAGTGTTGTGGAATTTCATACCAACACAATAAAAGATAAAGATAAACAGGTGTTGTAAATTAGTATTATTTGGAGATGATATATAAATATTAGAGAAAATCTTAAAATTAACAAGAAAATCTAGAAAGTGTACACAAGCCCAACACAGAAGGACAAACACTGTATAATTCCACTTACACAAGGTATCTAAAATAATCAATGCACAGAAATAGAGAACAGCATGTTGCTTGCCAGTGGCTGGTGGGGAGGGGAAATAGGGAATTCTTAGTCAATGGGTATAAAGTTCCTGTTATACAAGATGAATAAGTTCTAGAGATCTGATGTACAAATACTACATATAGTTAATAATACTGTGTTGTACCCTTTAAAATATATTAGGAGGATAGATTGTAAGTATTCTTACTACACAAAAAAACACACGCAAAAGAATACCAGGAAATATCTGGAAGTGATATGTTTATACCTTGATTGTGGTGATGGTATCAGAGGTGAATGCATATGTCCAAATTTATCAGGATATATATATCAAATATATGCAATTTTTGGTAAGTTGATTATACTTCAATAAAGCTAAAAAAAGATGAATGTATGTGAAGGAAAACTTGATATTTAGAAACACTAGGATGCTATCTTTAGAAATTCAATTTTGACTGAATTTATATAGGGACATTGATGATATAAATGAAATGTTAATGATGATTAATAATAATATTGGGTTTTTTTAGCAGAAGATTCACCCAAAGTCCAGAGGTTTAAAATATAGCAATAACAGAAAGGCAGCATGATGAAAGAATCTCTTAATGATTGGGAGATCTGCCTAGAGTTAGGGAATTCTTCATTCCCACAAGCACTGAACAGAAATTACAAGAGCAATTATCCAGGATGCTGGGAAAGGGATGATTGCTTAGGGATGCAGGCAAGCACTACAGCAGTGCTCCTCAAACGTGTGTGTGTGCGAGAGAGAGAATTCACAGGTGGGCTTATTAAACCACAGGGTGCTTGCTTCACGCCCAGAGTATTTGACTCAGTAGGTCAGATGAGCCTAAAGATGTTCATTTCTAGCAGATTCCCAGGGGATGCTGATGGTGCTGGTCAGGGACCACAATCTGAGAACTACTGAATTTAGAGAAAATGTTTCCAGATAGTAACAATAACCACAATTTGTCATCCAAGAAAGCCAAAATATACGACTCATGAAGTCCCTGGGCTTGGATTAATGATATTTCTGTCACTCTGGGGAATACTTCTTTGGAGTGAATTTTGTATTGCTTTTTCCCTCTTTCTGGGCAAACCCAGCAGCCTTATGGAAAGCAGAAACCAAACAGGAATCAGAAACTTTCTCCTCCTGGGATTCACAGAGGAGCCAGACCTGCAGCCTCTCCTCTTTGGGCTGTTTCTGTCCATGTACCTGATCACGTTCACTGGGAACCTGCTCATCATCTTGGCCATCATCTCAGACTCCCACCTCCACACTCCGATGTACTTCTTTCTCTCCAACCTGTCCTTTGCTGACATTTGTTTCACTTCCACCACCATCCCAAAGATGCTGGTGAATATACAGACCCAGAGCAAAGTTATCACCTACGCAGGCTGCCTCAGCCAGACATATTTTTTCATTGTGTTTGGATGTCTGGACAATTTATTCCTGGCTGTGATGGCCTATGACCGCTTCGTGGCCATCTGTCATCCCCTGCACTACATGGTCATCATGAACCCCCAGCTCTGTAGGCTGCTGGCTCTGGGGTCCTGGTGCCTCAGCATCGTGGTCTCCCTGCTTGATACCTTGACCCTTTTGAGGCTGTCTTTCTGCAGAAGCATGAATATCCCACACTTTTTTTGTGATCTTCCTGAAGTCCTGAAGCTCGCCTGTTCGGACACCCTCATCAGTAACATAGTGGAGTATTTTGTGACTGTTGTCATAGGCGTTCTTCCCCTCTTGGGGATCCTGTTTTCTTATTCCCTGATTTTCTCCTCTATCCTGAGAATTTCATCAGCCAGGGGCAAGTACAAAGCCTTTTCCACCTGTGGGTCTCACCTCTCGGTGGTTTCCTTGTTCTATGGCACAGGCCTTGGGGTCTACCTCAGTTCTGCAGCCACTTCATCTCCTAGGACAAGGCTGGTGGCCTCGGCGATGTACACCATGGTTACCCCCATGCTGAACCCCTTCATCTACAGTCTGAGGAACAGGGACATGAAGGGGGCCCTGGGGAGGCTCCTCAACAGGGCAGCTCCTCTCAGTGCTGGGACCTTTGCAGGACTCTCATGAGTAACTAGGTGCACAATACTGAGGACCATTTCCTTCATTTAATATTTTTACCTTTCCTAATATTCATGTTTTTAAAGCATAACTTTCCCTGGGTCTTCACTGCCCTCTCTATTTTCCTTCAGGTTATATCTTGAGTTCCCTTTTCCACTTTGTAATCAGTCATTTTAATGTCATATGAATAGAACCTGGTGTTTTCTCAGTTGTCTTCAGGAATGACACAAATTTCTTAAAACATGAGGTGAGTCATGCCTGAATTTACCTCCCTTCTTTGGGAGAGGTGGATGCTCAAGTGAAGCCTAATTTGATTTAGAAAAAATTAATGTCATATTTCCTGAACAAAAGAGTCATGAAGTTGAGTTATACACATGGCAACTAGAATCATGTTACTCTCTGTTCACTTTACTTGTGTTTTCCCCAGACCTTTAGCAAGGTCTCATATAATGTCCCACCTGGTTCATTAGGCTGCAAGAAAATAATGCTAAGAGGCCAAGGTCCACCCTTATATTGTAAGGAGACAGAGCCCCCTGAGGCCAGCACGGGGATGTCCAAGCCAATTGGTCTAAAAAGTCAAAAGCTGGGGCTACAAGTCCCAAATACTCACCCCCATGGGAGCTACTTCCTCTATTTCCAGTTATCAGGTGTTTGAAGCAAAGGGTTCACGCAGAGAATAAGGGGCGCTCAAAGCCTGCACAACCCAAAGAAAGGACTGGCCCTAGACAGCCTCCTGAAAGATGATCTCTGAGCCTCTGGACTATCCTGCCAGATAAAAGTCTTTCTGTTTACCTAGGGCCTTAAGCCAAGCCAGGTGGCCTATGCTGACAGTGTAGCTGATGGTGAATACCTGCTTTTGTTCACCTGAGGCCCTGGGCAGTGCTGTATTAGTTTGACCTCTGAGGGAACTAAAGAATGAGTCATGCAGGTCAGAGGGTACCCAACGCCTAGGTGACAGGCCTTGATGAAAACTCTGGGCACCAAGGCTCAGGTGGGCTCCCCTGGTTGGCTTCATACGTGTTGTCACCCATCGTTGCTGGGAGAATTAAGTGCTGTCCATGCAGTTCCACTGGGAGAGCACAGTTGGGAGCTCACACCTGGTCTCTCTTGGCCCCTGTCCCAGTCACTTTATGCCTTTGCTGATTTTAATCTCTGTCATTTCACTGCAATAAACCATAAATGTGAGCATCACAGCTTTTTCAAGTTCTGTGAGTTCTTGTATCATATTATCGAACCTGAAGGTGATCTTGGGGAGCTCCAACACAGAGGCCATGGATATGGTTTTATTATGAGAAACAGTGGTTTTCCTTTACCTTCTGCAGTTCCACCAGTCCTTGAGAAATTGAGGAATGTGAGCTGATCCCTCACCTTGTTGAACCTGAAGCTTCCCTTACCCCCAATCCCAGGGAAAACATTTCCTCCCCTGCCTTGCTCACAGCCCTCCCACAAATTCTCAGCATATGCTCAGAGAGAAACAAACACCTTAGACATTTTTCAGTCCTGCTCCTTTATGTCATTTTCCCCCAAACACGCTGGAAAGAAGATGTGTGTTCATTGCACAGTCACTCAGGAAGTGGGTCTTCCCCAGGAACACCTCCCCGGGCCCCTTTGCTTCCCTCTGGACGGCAGAGCTGGGGGCCCTCACATGGCACTCTCGTTGCCTCCTCGTCCCCTGGACGCCCCCTTCTCTTGTGCCATGAGCGACTTGTAGGGCTTCCCCAGGCTGGGGAGGGTGAGCTCAGCCTCCTGCAGCTCCAGCTCCCGCTGAGACAAATGCTCAATGACAGCCGCTCCGATGGAGTCCCCCAGCACATTGGTCATCGTGCGAAGTCGGTCACTGGGGAGGGAAGGGGAGAGAGAGGCTGCCTTTAGTCAAAGTTTGAGGAACTCCGCAGAGAAGAGGGTGAATCAGCGGGGGACTACTTGTGCCTGGGAGTTGGGGCTCACATTTCAGTTCAATCCACAACCACGTATTCCCAAACAGGTCCCTCCCTCTCTTTGTCCTCCATTTCCCCTCCTAACGAATGCAGGTTGGACCAAGCTCTGATATGCTCAAGTTTGACCTTAGCAATGCAATTCTTTTAAAAAATGGAATCATCTGATACAGAAAATTAGGGGTCATGAGCTGAACAGTACATTGGATGAGGAAGGAAACCACTGTGAGTAAATAAGCCCAGGAGACCATCTGAATGGGCGTCAGATCCAGCTGACAGTTCCCATGTTGGGACAAAAGTCCAGACTTTTATATGTAAAAAAAAAAGTATATGTTTTTAAAAGTCAAGAATTTTTAAAAAACGTTTGCAAGCCACGCTGCCTCCATGGATCACCCTTTTCTGACTTCTATATAAAGCGGGTGTAACAGGCCTTTTCTGGATGATGGGTAAAGCCCTCATGGCTTATCTCCTCCCTGCCTTGCTTCCCAAGGTTAACTATGGAATTTGGGATCCAAAGGCAATGGCTTGTAGTATTTTCCAAGGCCCCATTTTCACTCTAGAATGCTAGAATTCTGTCCTTGCTGGAATGAGAGACCGTGGGTGGTGAGTCCCACAGGGAAAGCAGGGGGTTCAAGAGTCTGCAGGCACTCACAGGAACCAGTCCACAGCTATGATGAGCGTGATGTCTTCGGTGGGCAGGCCGACCGAGGTGAGTACAATGACCATGGTGACCAGACCCGCCTGGGGGATGCCAGCAGCCCCAACACTGGCTGCTGTAGCCGTGATACTGCACATGGAGAGAGAACACAGGGAGGCAGGAGGAGGGGAGGGAGAGATGAGGCAGTGTAAGAAGGGACACAACAGAAGGGAAGGGGCCAGTTCCCCGGGAAACCTTAAATCAAATTCCCCCAAATAGAAAGCAAATCCAGAGTGTTTTTCATTGAATGCCAGTGCAAATAGGTCCCCTCGACCTTGGCTGGGATCTGGTTGGACCGTCCACCCAATGATGGATGTTTTCAGGTTCAAACAACTAATATTTCAGGTCCAAGAGCAGGGATTTAACCAGCTGCCTCTGGGGGCTGAAAGAGGGCAGAAGAATCAACTCGGGCAGCAATTGTGAAACAGGAGCTTGAGTTTCCTGTGTATGCATAGACTAGAAGTAGGTGGATCAGTATAGACAGGTCCAGTTGCCAAGAATGGAACTCTGGAAGGTGGGCCAAGTTTAGAGTCTAAAGGAAAAAACTGTCTATAGTGTTGAGTAAATTTTTTAAAAATTATACATTTACATACATATGGTTTGGGAAAACTAAAGATAAGACACATAGCAAACGAAAAAGATGGTGGTCCACCATTAAGTAGAGGGTCAGACCAGATCAAGAAGTAGGCTAGATTTTAGCTCCAGCATCAATTCAGATGCCGAGCAGGTGTGCTAAGAAAAATTATAAAACCACTGAGCTTGCCAGGAAAGGTGTTAGGGCCCTGAGGTTGAAGCCCCTCTTCCTGGAGACCTCTGAAGACCCTTCCCAAATTCTATAATCGTGAACATTGGAGCTACTCAGGATGCTTAACCCAGATGATGCCTCTATCAGAACAGTGACTGAGCAAACACTTGGGTTGGTGAACAGAGAATGGACTTTTGGGTCCAGCAGACTTTATTCATCAGCTATACACCCTTGGACATAAACTCAGAGTCTACACTTCTTCATCTACAGAATGAAAGACATATACCTCACTTGAGGGGTTATTATGAGCATCAAGAGATAACAGTACTTTGAGAATGGAGTTCCAGGAATGACTATTACCATTATCCTAAGTGAGAGAGAATATCTCTTCCAAGAGCTGGCCCTGGCATAAGCAGTGATCTGGGCATGCCCTTGGGAGGCAGGCATCATGCTCTCAAAGGGATGAGGTAATTCTACCTGGATCCAAGAAGCCAACTCAAACTTCTTTGGGTTAAGTTTTGGATTTGGTCCAAGCTAGGAATCCCCAACCATCCAAACACAATCTGCCACTAAATTCTGAAGCATTGCCTGATGGGTCTCAAGCTGGCCATTGCCACAAAGCTCTTTCCATAGACTCTTAGGAAAAAAACTAGAAGTGATGCTCAGTTCCCTGGTCCATTTAAGAGCACTCCTCCAAATCTCCCATCCTTACCCTTTTTTGATGACTTCCCTACTCCAAAAGATATCAAAGCTTCCCATGAAAAGTGCCCACTGCAATGTCTGGGGCCCTAACTTAGATAGACAAGCAAATAAAAATGTGTTCCTTTGAAATTATTTTCTATCATCTTCACTGCATCCTTGGTTTCCCCTAGAAAAGGCTTCCTATACTCCAGCCAAAGATTGTTTGAAGGAGGACCCAGCGGCAATCTCTGGGGGTCTAGGCACTGGTATCAGCCATAGGGTCCAGATGTAAGCAGTGTCCCTGAACATCCCCTAAGACATTGAGACCCAAGTTCAGAGTGTTCTCCTTATTTACAGGGTGGTCTCTAGAACCCCTATAAAAAGAGAGAGCACTCTATCCTGCTGGGGACCCTAGTTATAAGTATTTCCAACCAAGCCAGCTTTGTACTATGCTATGTGATGTTGTGGTACCTGCTTTCATCCACAATCCCTACGTAGCAAAGAGGGGCATATAGCTGTCGGGGAGAGTGGGATGCTCCACTAAAGAGCATGGGCACTGGAGTCCAGCTTCCCTGATATCATCAGCATTCTAGGTATAAAGTCTCTATTTTTATAATATGTGAGAGACATCAGCATGGCTTCACATGCGATAGACGAAAGGTCAAGTAGAGGCAATGGAGTTGAAAATACAAATAAGCAATGGAATAGGGGACAGAGTGAGAAGATAAGAGGAACGAGATTTGGGGGTGGCAGAGGAATGAATTTTGAACAGAGTTTAAACTGAGATCATGGGGAAGGAAGCATGGATGGATGTATATACCACAATACATTAGAGTTGTGGGAGCAGACAGTTGGGTCCATTCACACTCAGTAACCTCGATGATGCCCCCTGAGGTAGAAGGCAACATGATTATCACCACCATCACTATCATCACCACCATCACCTCCATAATCAACATCATCATCACCATCACTGTCATCATCATCCTCATCACAATCATTTGTGTGGCTTTTTCCTTCATTAGACTGGATCTTCCCTAGGTTCAGGAACCATGTCTTATTTTTTTCTTCACCCTTCACAGAACTTGCCCTTTAGAAAGCATTCAACACATTTTTTTTTTAATATTTGCTGTTAGGTTGGAACTTTGGCACTGGGGACTTCCTGAGGTTGCCCCTGCCACCTTTCTGGACCCATGTCCTTCTACTCCCCCACATTCCCGCTAAGCCCCAGCCTTAGTGAGCCCCCTAGTGGTTCTCCAACTTAACTGTGCATCTGAATCACTTAGAAGGTTAGTTAAAATACAGACAGCTGGGCTCTATCCCAGAATTTCTGCTTCATTAGGACTGCAGTGAGGTCTAAGAATTTACATTTTCCAGCGAGTTCCCAGAGACTGCTGCTGCTGGTCTACTTTGAGATCCACTGCTCTCAAATGTCATGATTCGCTTTACCCATGTCCTTCCTTTTCACCTGGCCAGGTCCTATCCCTCCTTCCACATTCAGTTCTGGTGTTACCTGTCTATGAGGGCTTCACTCACTGCCTCCTCTTCAAGGCTGGGTCAGGTGTCCCCCCCACCCGACAGCACTTGGCTTCCCCAACACAGCACTCAGCAGACCACGTGGGAATGTTTAATTTATTTATGGTTCCTCTAATAGACTGGGGACTCCTTCCAAGCAGGGTTCATGACTCTCACCTCTTTAGGTCCTCCAAGTGCCAAGCACAATGCCTGGCATGTAGATACCAAATGAATATTTGGGCAAGGAGGCAACAAACAAAGGCAAACCCACACCCACAAAATTACTGCAAATCTTTCCAAGTTTGCTTTTCCTAAGGATATGGAGACAATCTAATAAACTGACCCCTGGGCCTCTATCAGCACAGGAGTCACACTGAATCTCTTTTTCTTTCAAAAAATTCCTGCATAAGAATAGAGCGTTGGAGAGTTGTGTCCAGCACATCCCAGTCAGCCTTTGTTGGGAGTCCGTGCAGAGTCCTTACTACCAGGAGCTCAAGCCATGAGGAAAACCCTCAATGAAGCCTTCCACAAATCCAGAATTGTCTGCGTCATGTGATTTCCAAACAGACCTAATACAGGACCATGAGTGTATTGCTCACAGCTATATTCCCAGATCCTGGGACCAAGTCAGTACTACTACAATAAATATTTTCTGGCTGATTGGACATGAGGCTGTCCTCCAATATCCAGTATTTATGAGACCTGTTTCAGGGGCCATGGGGAATAGAGAACCACAGCCCCATGAACTCCAAGTACTTCATGCCCACATGAAGACATCAAGAGGTTGCTGATTGTGGGACAGAAGAAGGTAGAGTCTGTTGACTCAGACTCTCCACCTGGGCAGGAGAATCTCACACCATTGCCCACAGGTACCCCTGTTTCCCAGCCCAGCTCCTTAAATGCATGCTCCTTCCTCCCACTCCTCATCCATCCCTCCTCCCATCCTGTGCTCTGCAGTTAACAACACTGGTTCAAGAACCCACCGCTTCCTATTATGCGATCTTGGGCAAGTAACTTAACCTGCCTCAACTTCCATTTCTTCCCCTCTAAAACAATAATGATAATTCTATCCACCTCATGGGGTCTTAAGAGGATCAAACTAATGGGCACAGAGGCACTTTGCACAAGACTGTTTACAGAGCCTTCAATAAATTCGCTCCTTCAACTCATATTTATTGAGCATTTACCATGTGCTAAACACCTAAAACAAATTCCCACAGGAAAAAAAAATCCCTGCTCAAAATGGAGCTTACATTCTAGTGGTGGGGGGAGGGAGCAAGCAATAAGCAAGATGAATAGTAAAATATATACTAAGGCACATGGTTCTAAGGGGAAATGGTTCAGCCTAAGAAAGTCCAGACATGCAGTTTTAAATAGGATATTCAGGGAATGCGTCCCTGAAAGGGGGACACTGGAGCAAAGATCTGAAGGAGGTGACAATCTTTGCTGTTATTTTTAGAATGACTAAATTGAAACTGCTGGGTGATGGGGCCCAGTAATCCATATTTATAACAAGAATCTCAGTTATTAGGATGCACCAACCATACTTTGGAAAACACTGGACCAAAGGATCTATCACAATAGTATGTGAGAGAAGAACTGACCTGAACATCAGCCTCAGGTTGCAAAGTCTCACCTTTAACCTCTTCCAGCAGCACGGGTGACTAGACTCTTCCCACATACCCTCTCCAACATCTTTACCTCCAGCCGTAGCTCCCTCCTCCTCGGCCAAGCTGATGGCTTCTTCGGTCCCACCTTGTGGCAGGAAACACCCAAGGGCTGCTCACCTGATGGTTGTGATCTGGCCCAGGTTGAGCTCGTAGTTGTTGACTTGGGCAATGAAGATAGCGGCCAGGGCCTCATAGAGGGCAGTGCCGTCCATGTTGACAGTGGCCCCCACGGGCAGCACGAACCTCGTGATGCGGCGGTCCACGCCCAGGCCCTCTTCCAGACAGCGGAAAGTGATGGGCAGTGTCGCAGAGCTGGGGGAGAGAGCCCCAGGGGCTGAGCACACGGGGTGGCAATGGGCCAAGGGAAGGCCCCCCCATGAGAACACTGGGAGACAGGGTGGGGGCTAGTGGAAGGGGAAGATGGCAGGCATATGACATTTCAGAAGCTGGTAACCGTGCATGGGGGAGAGGGACTCCTGACACAGAAAGCACACAGCAATGAGGTCCCCAAGGCTGAAGGTCTTTTGACCCACTTAAATTCAATAGTTTAAGCCTACTCACTAGACATTGGTTCATGCCACTGCTCTAACTATTCACTCCCAGAATGGATACTAAGGGTCTTATGAGCTCCCACCCATCAGGGCTAAGAGAGGGTGTTACAGAAGACCCCTATTCCCCACTTTCCATGTTCACTAGGGAGTGACCTCAGTTACACTAAACTTCTAGGTCTCTCTCCCCACCTGGGATCAACTGGTCTATAAAACATGGGTCCTGTCTGGTCAGCTTCATGTCATCCAATGAGAAGCCTGGACCCACAAAGAGGATCCTTCGGTGTCCACATCTGTGGCAACCACTTGAGTTGAATTCTGGGATACAATGGCACCAATCCTACTTGGCCACAGATCAAAAGGCACATTTCCCAATCAGTGTTTTGTGAGCAATAAAAAATGATATTTTTCTTCCATCTGGTTGGCTCTAGTAATACCTCTCAAATCATTCTGAATTTGGATGATGGGGCAAAGGGGAGCTCTTTATTAACCCCCTGAATCGAATTTAAAAAAAAAGGAAGAAGCCAAGAGAGTTTCCAGAGGTCATCTCAAGGGGAAATGAGACCCTCTGAGCTAGAAAATGACTAAGAACATGGGGCATGTTAGAAACTTTGTCCTAACCCCAAAATTGGCAGCTGGTTCTCCCTCCATGTTAAATGGAGAAACCAGAAAACAGAGAACAAAGAGTCAGGAGACCCATCCCAGGACAACGATTGGTGCCTAGATGTTGAGCAAATGGAGACTTCCAAGAGCCCCTGACATTCCTATACAGCCCAGATTAGGTTCTGTAGTGGCAGGAAGGGCAGGACTCCCGGGAGAGCCTGAGAAAGACAAAGAATGAACCTAGGAAGGGTACCAGTGGTGGGGGACAAGGCCATACCTGGAAGACGTGCCCATGGCGGTGATGAGGGCCTGCAGTATGCCCCCAATGAAGGGGAAAGGATTCCGATGGGTGATGAGGAAGTAGATGAGGGGCAGGATACCACCGGCATGAAGGAACAAACCCACGATGACAGTCAAGGTGTACATGCCCAGCTGACCCCCCAGGACAGCCATGTCTTCCATCTCTAGGATCTTGCCAGCAATCAGGAACAGGATGCCCACAGGTGCATACCTGGGCCAAGCCAGACACCTGTCAGGCCTTCCTCATGACCTCCCCTACAAGCCTGGAACTAGCATCCCCAAGGCTCCCCCCACATAGACCCTGGAGCGAGGCAACTCCCTGACCATTCAGCATTCTACTTCACTCCAACCTTCCCCACACAATAATAAATGGCGCTAGATCCCACAAACACATCCCAGCTTCTCTTCCTGCTTACCCACGGCCCACCCTCAGAGAGCAGAAAAGTTCCTACAGCTCCAAGACATACACTCTTGTAAGGTCCTCTTTCACCCACTTCCCCATTCAAGTCTCCCCAAATAATCACTGTCTTCAGCATTCCTTCCCTAGACATTGCACAGACACTCCCTATCTCTGGGCTTCTCACTTCCCTTATACGCTGCTCCCAACTCTTTACTCTACGTTTGTAACCTGTGTGCCCCTATTTACTCTTTCCTGTAAGTGCATATTCTCACTCATTCACCAGCCCCAAGTTACTTCACCTGGATTCCCCACAGACATCTCCAACAGCCTGCTTTCCCAAACTATCTATTTATTCATTCACTCAGCAAGTATTTATTGAGCACCCATTATGTTCCAGTCACGTTGTCCCTGCCCTCGTGGTGCTTACTTCTAATGGAGAAGATATGCAATACACAGAGAAATACATAATTAAAAACTTCAAGTGGCGATAACTGCAAAAGAGAGTCACTGAGTGGGGCTGCTTAAGAAGAGTGGTCAGGGAGGGCTTCTCTGAAGAGATGACATTTAAGCTGAGGCCTGAATTATGACAAGGAACCATGTATATCTGAGCGGGGAGTATTGTGGGCACTGTGCAAAGACCTTGAGATAAACATGAGCTTAGGAGTATTGGAGGAGCAGAGAGAAAAACCAGTGTGGCTGGGGCAGTGAATGAAAAGTGACAGTAGAGAAGACAGAAGAAGCAAATTCATCAGGGGCTCACTTGTTTTCCCCACAAACCAGCCCATTGCTTAGTTTTGTGAGTTTCTGCCAGCAGTGCCATAATTCACCCGTCACCAGGCTTCATTTCTTATTTCTCTCTTTAGAAATTAAAGTCTGCACCTGGTGTGTCATGGGGGGTGGTGTGGAAGAGGTAGGGATCACACGGGAAACTGGTGCAATAGCTTGGGTCAGAAACGATGAAATCCAACCTAAGGTTGTGGCAGTGAGGATACAGGGGACTCCGCCAGCCGCGCCTGTGTTTCCCACGCTGGGCTCGGGGTTGCCCCTGGTGGGTGGTTGCTGAGTTGTCTTCAGCACTAGACCTACCTCTATGAATACTCTGCAAACTCCCTTTCCAACTCCCTCATCTCCATCCTTCCCTTTCATCTTCTGCAAAATTCCTCAATTCTGGATCAATTGCACATGACATTTTCCTCCTATTCTCAGCTACCAGGCACATACGGCTATTTTTCCAAACATGCCAATGATAAGACTATAAACTCATGGTTCCCAATTCAGTTGAGCTTTCAATACTTCTCTTCAATCTTCTTGCTTATCCTTAATAAGCTTCCCCTCCCAATTCCCTCAGCTGCTTTTCCAAGCTCTCAGTGTAGCCTCTAGCACCCTGTGCAAATTTCAAATTATTTGGGATGATGTACAGTCTTCCCCGGTTTGGGACCAAACAGCCTTGTTAACATCTTCCACCACGACTCCCACCTTATCCTACACTCCCTCCTTCTTCAACTCCTCGATTTTCTCCAAACAACTCAGGTTCTTTCAAGCTTTGCATGTTCTACCCCCTCTGCTTGAAGTGCCTCTTCCTTTTTCCCATCTTCTTGGATTCCTACTCACCTTTTAAGGCCCAACTCAGAGGTGGACTTCTCCATGACTTCCTCCTCCCCTTCCCAGGCAGAGCTCACTGCATATCCCTCACTGGCTGCTTACTTCCCTATAATTTTTTAATGTCTCTTGACTACAGAACCTTTCACCTTATATTATATTCATCTAATATGTGTCTGTCTCCTCCAAGACTTTGTGAGGTCCTTGAGGACAAGGACTGAATTCAATGTATCTCTGCATTCCAGAGTTCAAAACAAAGTCAGCCTAGGAAAATATCTGCTGAGTGAGGGATGGAGTTTAAAGAATGAATGAATCAATCAATCAATCAATTATGAAATAATGAGAGAGTGGATAAATGAGTAAGAAAATAAGCAAATGAGACATGAATAATGGGTGGGTGAATGAATAAGTGTATTAAGCAAATGAGTGAATGAATGCAGGGAATATCTGACTAAGTGAATGAGAGAATAACAAATGCAGAGATAGGTCATAGAATGAGTCTGATACATAAATGACATAGTAAATCAATCATTCCGTCAATGCATTAACTAATGCATGGATGAGTTTGTGAATGAATTTATGAGCAAATGAATGAATTAACCAGTGCACAGAAGAATGAATAAATGAATGATAAGATGAGTGAACCAGTGCATGGAAGAATGAATACAAATTAATAAATGAGTGAATGGACAGTTTGGTCAATCTACAGAAGAATTTATAGATGGATAAATAAGTTAGGGAGTGAATGAATAATGCATGGAAGAATAAGTATTAAATGAATAAATGAGTGAATAAATCAGATGAACAAGGGAGTCAATGAGTGAATAAATCACTGCAGAAAGGTATGAATAAATTCATGAGCAAATGAGTGAATAAATAAGTGAGTGAATTAACCAATGTACATATAAATGACTGGCCAAGTGGTCCCAACAACCACTTCAGCAGCTGCCCCACCATCTGACTTCTCAGAGCTGGCAACATCCTCCCCGTGCACCATTACCACCATCCCCTGCCCCCATCACAGCCCAGCACTCACCAGATAATGATGCCCACCAGCCTCATAATAGCCTCATTGAGGCTGTCGAAGAAGTCCCGCAGGACACGGCCCTTGTGTTTCATGCCGCCGATGACCAGCCCAAAGGCCACAGAGAAGACCACAAGACCCAAGGCATTGATGCCATTGGCTGAGCCAGGCACAGGCACAGTCTCCTCAAAGCTCAGCACCTCCTGCAGGGTGCCCAAGGCCCGTGTGACGTTTTCCAGGAGGCTGGTTTCATTCTCCATGGAGGATGAAGAAGGCATGGAGGTGCCTGGCTCAGATCCATTATCTGTCCTCACAATGGTCCTGGTTACCAACCTCGTGCTGTACTGCGTCTTAAACTGAAATATGGAGATATTGGCCCAAACTCAATTCAGCAGATACATCAGAATCTCCTGGAGATATTTCTTTACAATACTAATTCCTAGCTCCTACACTCTGGAGAGTCTTATTCAATTCCCTGAATGATTTGACCAATGCAGAGTGGATTGAGTGGATAAGTAGATAAGTGAGGGAGTGAACAACTAATGCATGAGAGAAATATGTAGATTTTGCATTTTTCACTAGCTCCCTGGGCAATGCTCAAACAGGTTTGGAGGACTGTCTCCTCAACTATCTATAATCAGAAGACTTGGTTCCTCCCTCAATACCATCCCCAGGCAGACCTTGGCAGAAGTCCTTCTGTCTAACCTTCCCTTGATCACCACAACAATAGGAAGCCCAGTCTTTCTTTCAGACTCTTCCAGAAGTCCCTAGAAGTGCTCTGTCAGGTCCTTCTTCCCACCCCTCACTCCTGGACCATTCACTCAGTAGCAAGCTCCTCCCACCCTCCAAACCTCCTGATCAGACTATGTCCTTCCCCCTGACCTGTTTGAAGCAGGCCTCCACAAGGTTGGGCGGAAACATATTTCTGCAGAAAAACATGAGATGAATGAGGGTGGTTAGACCTTGGAAGAGAATCTAGGGTGATGAGAGTAATAGTAGCAACAGTGATCATGGCTGCCAACATGTCAACCCCGACTCTAGCCCAGGCACTGAGCTAAGCGTCTTACCTATGTGATCTGATTTAAACACCACAATAACCCTAGAAGTGAGTGCTACTGGCGTCCCATTTTACATGCAAAGAAGCCAAAGCACAAAGAATTTATGTAGGTTATCCAAAGCCACACAGGTGCTAAGGGGTGCAGATGGACCTCAAATCTAAATTCTGTCTGAGCCCTCTAGTAGGACTCTAAGCCACTTCAGGGACTTCAGTTCACACACATGTGCCACGCATGTCTCAAA